GTGCGTGCGTGCGTGTGTGTGTGTGTGTGTGTGTGTCCATTTGGAGACTGGAGGTTGACATTTGGTATCTTCTTTGATTGCTCTCCACCTTCTCTTTTGAGACAGGGCATCTTACTGAACCTGACACAGGAGCTAACCAATTGGCTGGGCTGACTGCCCATCAAGTCCTAAGGATCCTCCTATTTTCCCTTAGTGCTGGGATTTATTGGTACATGAGGCTGCTAGGGATCAAACTTAAGCCCCCAATGCTTATGTGACAAGCACTTTGCCTATTGAGTCACTTCTCCAGAATCTTAGTTGTTTTATTTATTACTATTATTGTTGTGGTTGTTCTTTTAGGAAACATAGAATATAGAAGAAAGGCTTGGGTATTAACCAATCAGGAAGGAGTGCAGCTGGCTGGCTAGCTCAGTTAGTTAGTTATTTAGTTATTTATTTATTTAGTTAGTATCTGGGCAGCAATAGTGAGCATTAGTATACCAAATTAAGAGCAGATTATTTTAGTAACAAAAGTGGTCATTACCTAACACTATTAACCTTTCTCTAAAGAGTTTATAAAAACATGAAGGCATGGAGCCTGTGCTGTGGATAACCCATGGTTAGTACTGACATCTTAGACGTAGCAAGGTGAGCTCTTGGCTGAGGTCGCTCATCATCCTGGGAAAAGTTGGGGCATACCTGATGTGGGACACAGAAGAGAATCCTGCTTCCTCAATTTGAGCCTTCAGCTCCTTGAGTTCTGCCTCAGCTTTTCTCTTCTCCTCTAAGTGCTGGTGGACTTCAGCCCTCAGGTGGAGCAGTTCTTCCTGAAGACACCTGTTACTGTCCCCCCCAGCTGAGGAAGGGGGCTGAAGACTTATTTTCTGGGTCTCCATGGTCGCCAGGCTTTTCTCCAAAGCCACCTTGATGAGCTGAAAGAAAACCATTGTTTAAAGAAGTTAGGTCACTGAAGGGGACCCAAGAACACAGGCAAAGGCAGCTTCCTGGTGGAAACAAAAGACAAAAAAACTCAATGATCTTCTCTTTAGGTCAGTCATAAGGGCCCTGGGATTGGTTTGGGAAGCAAGGACCCATGTAGTGAGTGGGAAGGGCTTGCCATCTGAGGAAGAAGAGAGTCCAGAGTTGGTGAGAAACATAACGCACCCACCCACCCTGAATGCAAGCAAATGCGACTTAATCTGGTCTAGTAGATGCCAATATTGTGGTACGTCCCTTCATAGGGGCATAGAGTCCCCCGAAAGTTTGCTTTGAAATCAGAATGCTTTACTGACCCCAGAGCACTGGATGGTTGACTGTGAAGGTCATGGCTCAGGATGCCAGGGCTCAATGGCTAAACCCCTGCCTGCAGCTCAGACTACAAAGAGGGGATAAAGACTTAGAGTGCCTGCACCCACTCCCAGAATTAAAATCATGGAGCTAGAGGTACAGCAAAGCAAGGCCAATTCCACTGACAAGAGGAGAATCACCTACAATCACAGAGTTTGAGCTTAATCCACCCTACTGGACATCACTGAGTTTTCCTTTTTGATTAACACCTTGTGTCAATGCTGTCAGCTAAATTCTGTAAGTCTAAGCATGTGAGAAGAAAACAAAGTAGAAGATTTCACAGTGTCTTTCTTCTTAAGGATTTCTCTTGACATCACTCCCAAATGTTTCATTTAAAACAGATTTTAAAGTGCTTTTCCCAAGTGGAAAGTAGGGAGGGACTTTCTTATCATACATGCTAGGTTTATCTCTAACTATTTTCTGCACTTTTATATGGGTATTAATGCAACTCAGAATTTGGGTGTGATGACCCAAATTTAATTTTAAGGATTTCTTCCACCTTCCTCCCTCCTTACCTTTTGAAACAGGGTCTTGCCTTACAGCTCATATTGGCCTCAGTCTTGCTAATATCCCAGGCTGTCCTTGAACTCTGGGTTCTCCTGGCTTATCCTCCTCAGTGCTAGGTTTATAAACAGGTGCTACTGAACACATCTCAACAATACTCTCCATACTTCCCAGTCACGTTGGCTTCTTTTTCCTCTCAGTGGTACTGTTCGAAAGTTATACTCAATTTCGGGTCAATTTTGACTTTCACTTTTCACCCCTCCACACAGGAATTTCTGTGTCATGCTGTTATTTTATTTTGCCTCTATTAATATTGTGAGTCATGTTTGTCACTTATAAATTTATTGTGGTTATATAGGATTATGTCCCAATTACATAGCCACTAAAATAGCTAATGTGCATCTCTATAAACCATTTTGGTGGTCACCTAACTACAGAATGATTCATATAATTATTTGTTTTATACATTCGTTTAGGTCACTAACATATTGAACAGAATAGGACCCAGAACAAGGTATATGAGTCAATGGTTGGTAGAGCAGCTTGGCTCTACAAAACAACAGCTTAGCAAAAGCTGTTGACTTTTGCTATTCCTTGTAACAAAGCTAGGTCATGCCTGTACTGTGTGTTTGTGGTAGAGCTCATTCATAGCACACATGTAATGATATTTAGTACCACAGCAATTGAAATTGTCAAGTGATATACAGTCATATAGAATAGAGTCCTAGACACAGCTACTCAGTCTTTAGGCATTCAATCCCATCCAGGCTTTGAGAGTTCAGACTAGAGACAATGTCTGTAAGACTGCTGCCTGGCATAGTTAGCTGCTGCCATCTCCATGGTGTTATCACCCAGCAACGGTAATAGAATAAAGGACTGGGTATTGGACAGGACTCTTTTGAAGACTTATTACCATAACCTTCGCTTAACTAAGTTATGTGCCAGGAATGGTGGCCCATGCTTGTAATTCTAGCACCTGGGAGGCTGAGGCAGGAGAACTAGAAGCAAGGCTGGCCTGGACTACATAGTGAGGGCATTTCAAAAGCGCCCCCCCATAATGAATAGGTAGGCAAAAATACACAAGTAAACTTTATGTTACCTCTCTGTATAAACCATTTGCAATGAACATAACTAAAATCATCATTAGACTTGAATATGGACACAATAGCTACTCTTTTCTTAACTGTGAGTGTTGTTTATGCTTTAAAACATCCCAGCTTTAATGAGGTCTATCCATTGTTAAAATACCTTCCTGTGTGTGTATTCAACTGGTTTCAGTATACCTATTTTCTTTTAAAGGGAAACATGTTGATTCATGAAATATGGATGCCAGAATGACCTGAAGATTCATCAGGTCTGATTTCTCATTTTAAAATAAGAAAATAAATCATCACTCAGATACAGAGGTGTCCAATCTTATAATGTAATACAACATTAAAATCTACAAATGTGCAGGGCTGCATTCACAGACATTCAGGGACACATGGGGCCACAGGTTGAATGCATATGGTAGATCTGGCCATTATCAGCCTAATTGGAGTTTTCACAGCTCTAAAAGGAAGTCCCCCCCAACTTTATAATTGAAATATAAACGTATGAAAAGTGAGTTAGGATCTAGACTCATTATCTTTTACTGTCTATGACAAGCAAATATTCCTGTTCTTTTTCTCACTAAAACTCCTATCCAGTGCGTAAATGCTAGTGCGATTCCTCTGGGCCCAGTTAAATTGTAATTCTCTTACTGTTTTTCTCTTATCACTTAACTCACCTGTGCAATTTGACCGTTTTGACTGTTTCATAGGCCCTACTTCAGAAATGCACTTTCGCTTGAATGGGGCCATTTTGTTTTCACCCTCTCTCTTCATATTTCCCACAGCAAAGGTCAATTTTCAGACAATATTAAAGATATTAAGAAATCATCGTTTCTCAAAAAATCAAGTGTCAGTCATCATCAGGAAGATAAAAAACACAACCACGGGGAGCTGTTGCCTCACATGTATGAGAATGAGTTGTATATATTTTAAGAATGACAACATGCATGAGGTGCTGAGCTCTCGCCTCAGAACAACAATAACAACAACAACAACAACATGGAAGAAGAAAGAAAAGGAGGGAAAAAAGGAAAGAATAAAGAAAAAAAGGATGCTAAATTAGTATGCCTTTGTAGAAATGGCATGACAAGTAGTTAAAAAAAAAAAACTAGACAGATCTATATATGACCCAGGATTAACACTTCTGGGTATATACTTCCAGTGTGTGAACTGATGTTCACAAATGCCACAACATGGAGTTAACCTGGGTGTCTATGAATGGGTGAGTAAATTACATATAACGAAAAACTATTGGTCTTAAAAAGAGCAGCTATCCTGTTATTTGCTTAAATCTGAGAACATTAGGCTATGTGAAATAAAGCTGCTCATAGAAAGACAAATACCACACCACTTCCTTCTATGACTTACATGCGAACTCCAACAAAGCTGAGCTAACTGAAGTAGAAAGAAGAATGGTTGGTGGCCACCAGAGCTGGTGTGAGGAGGATACAATGTGGACTTGAGGAGTCACAAAGCTTCACACAGACAGAAGAAACAGGCTTTGAGGACAGTTGTTCATACGGTAACTATCAGCAGTAAGTATATTTTAAAATAACTAGGTAAATTTCAACTATCTCACCATGACAAAATCAAAGTAGGCAACGTACTGATGCATTAGTTAACTAGGCTTAATTGTTTCACTATATATGTGTATATCAAATCATATTGTACTCTATGCGTTTAATTATGATTTGATAATAAAATATTAGTATTTTTAAAATAGTTTTCCTCTTTTTCTGTCAGATTTAGTGTAGTGATCTTTCTGCATTTGGAAGCTGATTACTGATGAACTTTCCTGCATTGAATATGTTCAGATGAATGTCTGACTGCTCTCCCATGTCCTTTGTGGCTATCTCCCAGGCATTTATTATGGACCTTACAACTTTTTGAGATTGGAATTTTGTGGGCAATATCTAGGGAAGATTACTACCATGGTTAGACATGATGCTCTCTAAGGCAAGTGACTTCCTAGAAATGAGGAAACAAAGTTGAATGTGTTTGTTTGTTAGGGAAAGTGTGTATATGAGTGTGTTAAGAAGGGAGTGTGGCAGCCAGACAGTGGTGGCGCATGCCTTTAATCCCAGCACTTGGGAGGCAGAGGCAGGCGGATCTCTGTGAGTTTGAGGCTAGCCTGGTCTGCAGAATGATTTTGAGGACAGCCATAGCTACACAGAGAAACCCTGTTATCAAAAATAAAACAAACAAAAAAAAAGGAAGAAGGGAGTGTGGGGTCAACAATGATGGCTACAATAAGGAAGAGCTCAGAGGCTAATCCTAAAGGGAACCCAGCAAACAAATCTTTAGAATCTGGACACACGCAGGCAGTTATGGCAAAGCAAGCTTTATTTAATTGGTAACAGGAGAGTCACAACTCAAACTCAGCAAAAGATGAAGTGAACTCACAGTGGCTTCACATCCAGTGACATCATACACCAAGGTTCTTCCCACTCAAAGCTGGAAATCAGTTGCCAAGGTGACAGGAAGAAAATTGTGCTTACCCCAAAGATTCTTCGTCCAGGAGGCATACACTTTTGTCTATTAGGAAGAAAGCCCTGATCTGAAGGTCTGCTAACTTACAATTATACCGAGTACTTCCTATGCCAAGTACCAAGACAAGCGCTGCGATGTGTAGGGGTGAAAGTCTACTCCTGGGTGGGACTGACCTTCTCAAAGTAGAGTCTGGTCATCTTCTCAGGGTGAGGCTACAGGAAAGGAGGCTGGGGAAGAAATGACTTTACAAACCAGTTTGCCTGCAAGACTTGCAGCACCAGGATACTTAGAGAATGGTGATCAGGATCTGATGGCCATGGTATCCGTGTCTTCTGTTTATTTAATCAGAAGTTATTCCTGCCCCACAGCTGTTACAGTCATTGTGTCCAGCCAACATCCCAATCTGTTTAGAGTAGACTTCTGTTCATCCTGCAAATTCTCTCACCCAAGATGCTTGATGAAATCAGGTAGGGAGGAGCAGAGACATCTATGTATTGAAGCAGTGGTGTGTCTAATTAAAACTGCAGCCTGTTAGTCTGTGAGGATTCAGAAGGAGCAAATAGAGAAGTACAGCTAACCCTCAAAGGAAAGTGAAGGGTAGCCAGTCCTGACAGAGAGTAAGGAAACTCATGGTGATGTCTGGTGTCCCAGACAAACTCAGGTCCTCAAGAGCCCAAAATGATGCTAAATCCTATTCAGTTTGGGGTCTGTCCACTTGGCCTCTTCTTATCAGTTTAATGGCTGTCTCCTCTTTCTCTCATGCAGGAAATGTACAGGCAGACCCAGGAAGCCCCATTTTCCCTACATGTGTTCCTGGTAGCCCCAGGAAGATGTCACTAGAAAAGCCCAGCTTCTTTCTAGCAATGATCCCCATTTTCTACAACAACTTAAGAGCCACTTAAGGGCCTTTAGATGTGACTGTTGAATGTCTGGGACAAGGTGGAGACACTCAGTTCCAATGAGTGCTAGGAGCATTAAGGGTGACTTAACCTCTGAGGTCCAGGATATTTGCTCTTAGGCTTGAGACATTACACTTCTCTGATGGTGGGTCGGTGACAAATTCTGAGGCTTGGCAGGACTGGCTATTGGGTAGCCTGTCAGACCACAGAGCAAAGCTTCTCTTCTATTTCAAGGAGAGAGATCCCTGATTTGGAGACGTTCCAATCCCCTGGGAGTTTCTCAGACAAGTACTCTTGTCAAGGAGGCCCTAGGCTTTGCTATCCCCCCAGACAGCCCTTTCACATCTCTCTGTCTTCTGTTTTGTGTTTCAGTCATAAAAGCCAAAGAGAGGAAGCATCCATAGTCTTGTAAGTAGTGATTCTCCTGAAGCTAAAGCTACAGACAGGAAATAGTGACAAACGTGGGAAGGAAGGGATAAGAAACAGAAATAAGGAATAGAAGTAGTAAAAGCAAATGGCAGATTGAACAGAAAAAGATCAAGGAAAAACAGGGAGCAGGCCAGGGGTTGGGTTACATGAATGATGTCTTCTCCCTCCAGTGCATGACGACTGAAGGTGAGAGTCAGAGCCGAGAAAGCCTCACACCTGACACTGACTTACTTGCTGGTGGCTGTTGTGTGCAGCCTCCTCCTCGATGCTGTCTGTGAACTCTGTGCTTGCATCTTCAGTGTCATCGCCTGCCGCAGTACCTGGAAGAGAGTCCAGAAGAGAAAGGTGACTCCTTCACAGATGGCTCCCAGACGGTAGGTACAATTACACACTTGCCATCTACCTCTGTTTTTTTTCTGTTCTTCATACTCTTGGCCAGTGGCAGGGAAAATAGAACCAAGCCTTCTATGCAATGGTACTTTCTTCCTAAGAGTTCCGCGTAAGCCTTAAAACAAGCTCACTTTGATTGCAACACTTAGAAGCCTTTAAAGTAACTGTTCCTCTCCCCCATTTCAATGAATTCTTCTTCATTCTGTTCAAACACTAACATTCTCTTACCATGGCCAGCCATCTGCTGAGCAGGCCCATCATTTCCTGCTATGGGGCAGCTCCTCTCACCCTCTTCCATGGTTGGGAAGGGTTGTCCATAGGGTGACAGAATCTCTGGGATCTATGTTTCCCAGAGGTCAGGATGTGAGGCACAGAATGACCCAGGGGTTTTCTGATTCCTCTGTCTAAAAACCCCTCCTCTATACCTCTCTCAACCCCTCTTTCAGTGCCAGCATCTGTTGCCTGGAAGATTCTCTGTACTGCTCTGCTCAAATGGCATGTAGTCTCATCCTACATCTTCTAAAGATGTACCTGTCACCCTAGGGCAAAAGCATCTCTATCCTGCTGCAAAGGACAAGTGGCTTCAGTTACTGGTCTGGGCAAAGGTCCAGAGTGGCACTGGGCAAGAGAACCTTCACTGAGAGAAGACTTTGGTCATTAGTTTTTACTTAAATGGCCATATGTGGCTAGTGACTGCTATACAGGATGGCACAAACATGTCGCATTTATTCTCTTTAAAACTGATTATAATAAAAGATCAACCATGCAACTCTACATTAGGAACTGTGACCCACATTACTGATTATTTTTTCCCCTCCGCACATCAAAGAATATCTATTGTGATACTTTTGTATCTCATGGAATTTGCCAAGTTAGGGAACCTATTAATGCCAAGTTCTGATCCCACCTCAGCAACAACATGTTAAAATCTTTTATCTACCGAGTAACCTGGGGCTTAAAGAGATTCTGTGGTTTGTCTAAGGATGCATAGGTAGTTCTAACATGATTGGGGCTAGTAAATCAAGTGTCTAGACTCAGGAACCATTGTTTCTTATGGTGGAAAACCTGATTACTTCTTCCAAGACCAAAAAACTTCTCCCTGAACTCAGACACTCATAAATGAAGTCTCAACATGAAGAATAAACATTCACAGCTAGAATGATCATACTTCTTAGCTATGTCAAGAATCACTTTTCTTCTGCACACCAAGCAGAAAGTGGGCAGTTCACATCTACCTGTAAGTCCATGCCAGGGCATTTGCAATGGCTTGCTCACCTCAGCAAAGAACTAAGAGGTAGGTGATAAGTGTATTCTCCTAACAGCTTAAGACTCCAGTCTTCACTGTGGATGCTGCTATGCCTTCAGAGGAGAGCAGGATTCTATTCAGTAAAACCATGGACCAGGAGGCGGTCTACATCACTCAGCATCTTTAGACACCTCCTGCAGCCAGCGTACAGTAAGACTTTCCAACTATCTCCCTGGAAGAGCAGAATCATCTCTCTCAGGGGCCTGGTAAGGAGAGGTGAATGAACATAATCCCTAAGTCCCGAGCTGCTTTGGAAGCCCACTAGAACAAGGATGCCAAGTCATCAATGACATCTGTATCATATGATACTTATTTTTGGAAAATTTGTCCCTGTCCAACAGTAGAGATGGCCTTTCTCCTCCTGCAAAGAAAATGAATTTTCTCACCGAGTGACAGATCAAGACAGCAACCCTTTTCACTGTTTCCCTTTGGAGCTAGAAAACAACTCCGAGGGTCAAGGAAGCTCTGTGGGGTCAGCATTCCCATATCATTCTCGCTGGGCTGTAGAGTCTGCTCCATGCTGAGTCCGCATCCCTAAGTTATCCCTGCACTGGGATTCACAAGTAAGTTGGGGGCCTTTCTGATGCTAGAATCACATTTCTTCTATTCCCTCTGTAAACCACTTCAAGGACAGGATGCCTTGTCTCTGGTTTTGTCAGAAATTCCAGACAAAAGAATATTCCCACTTACCCCAACCCTCTATTACATGAAGCTTTTGTTTTTCTCTTTCTTAATGGAGCTTGATAGTTACTCTGCTTTTTGCTGAAACTCGAAAGCCTGGAAATGTGTGCTTGAGAATAAAGCAAAGAACACAAAGGAAATAGGAGAATAAAATGAGTACGTTGTCTCACACAAGGTCCTATTTGGAAGCAACCATTAGAAATCCCTCTTTCTGTTACAATTTCCATTTTTTAATGAATGAAAAGAATTTTTTTTAGGGCCGGCATGTGGCTTAGCGTTAAGAGTGCTTGGCTAGCGAAGCCCTGGGTTTGCAAAACCAGGCCTTGGTGTCACACATCTGTAATACCAGTACTTGGAAGGTGGAAGCAGGATCACCAGGAGTTGAAAGTCTTTCTCAGGTACACAGTGAGTTGGAGGCCAGTGAGACCCTGCCCCTCTTCCGAGAAAAATAAAAGAATTCTGTTTTGTAAAGGGTTCCCTTTTCTAAGCCTTTTACAAGGCAACAGAAGACTACTTTCTTAACTATCTTGGGACAGTCTAACCTTTTAAATGGAAGAGACCTAATACTTTTTATACTGATCATCTGTTCATTTTTGATAACCTATGAGATTCTCTGCTAGCTAATGATCTACCCGTTTGCAATAACCTTGATTCTCGGAGGTGAAGTTTCACAAGTCAGCACACAGACTCCACTGATATATTATCAGACACCGAGTCCTTGATGGATATTCTCAACGTGGTTCTTGGAAGTTCCTAGGCTCTGAAGCATACAAAATGGAGATGATACCACCTATTCCATTTGTACTTTGTTTTCTACCAGCTACATGATTTTACAAAGTACATGGAAATAAAACAAGTCTCTAAAAGGTAGCAGAATCCTAGAGTTGATAGTTTAAACATTGTGCAAATACAAGGTATCCTTATCAGTGAAGCAGACACACTTTTGTATGCTTAAATTGAAGATGGCATGGTGATTAAGAATGTGGACTCCGGTGCCAGATCATCTGTTTAAATCTGCTTTTGCCACTAGTTATGTGACTTTAATTAGGGTTCGTAATGCTATCTGTTCCAGGCAGCTGTTGCAAACTTCAAACAACTTCAGACTTCAAAGGGTTTGCTGACGCTGTGTGCTTAGAGCAGTGCTTGGCACACTGTGTAATCGGTAGGTCTTACCCTTAAACAGTATCATTTTGCTATTGCTGGTAAACTGAAGTGGTCCTTGTGCTGGGAGGCTGGGGGCTGGCAAGGCTGAAGGCCACAGAACCTAAATAAATGCAGGCAGCAGAGTGGAGTGTTAATCCTGATGATAGTGATTTCACCTGCAAGTCTTTCTTTCTGAATTGCTGCTTCATAGGACAGGAGGGGAAGCCCAGGCTGGCAGGGATTCCTTGGAAAGCTGCCATTGCCATCATCAGATGAGAACTGCCTTGAAATGGCACCATGCATGAATAGCTTTAAAGGAAACTTCATGCCCTTTCCTTTTAATTCTCAGTCATGAGAAAACTGGGTAGGGTCAAGGCATTTTTCCCAGGTTCCACTCTATGGCCATTGTTGCCATTAATTCCCTTATTTACATGGGAACCGCAAGGAGCAGTATCTTTCCACAGTAACTTCAAACATGGCAGGGGCCACGTGTAACTTATTTTGAAAATGGATTTGAAAGTTGAAGCTCACAGTCTGAGTAAGCTTGCAGGTCAACTGTGCTTTCCCTGAGGATCTTGTGCTGGCCTTCTCAGGCCCATCTTACTTTCATTGCCACACACTCTGCCATGTGTTCACTCACATTTTCACGCCATGAGCCCAGCCTTTCTGGCTCAGTATTATGATGCTGTATCAGAATGGAAGACAAAAGTTCTCTATCGAGCTTCAGTTTCCCCTACATCCATTCCCTTCAGGACTGCGTTAATGTCAAGGTTCGTTACGGCTCTCCTTAGCTTCTGCTGAGATTCTTTTAGACAGATGCTTATCTGGGAAAATAAGTAGTGCAATTCTGTCCACCAGAAGCCCAGACACTTTTTAGAGCACTTCTGCCTTTCAAATACAATGTTTCCTAAGAGGGCTGTCCAGTGTGACTATTACTAAGAAAGAAGCTGTGTTAAGTGACTGTAAAGCAAGTTAGACTCCAAAAGACTTTCCAGGGTACACAATCTCAACAGGACTTCAACATTTCACCTATCTTAAACTGCACAGGACATGTATAATTTAGGCCATCCTGGACAGATCAGGAGATAAGCCTACAATCTCTGTTCTAAAAGTGATTCTATGGTGTCAAGGAATTCTCTGTTTGTAGTGTCTCTTCAAGAAACAAAAGAAGCATGCTCTTATAGGGACATTAAGAGATGGTACCACCCACCACAGTAACTGACCTTCAAATTGACCTGCATTTCCTACCTCTATTCAGTAAGGAGAGCAAGAATGGATTTGTAAGTCTTAACACATTGCACTGCTATGGGGACGTGCAATGCTGTGTCTTTGGTCTTGCTTCTTTGAGAAGAGGAAAAAATTGGGTTTCCCTTCTTTAGTTAAACATGCATGCATGGGGTCTGGCTTTGACTTGGAATTTTAATACAATGATCAATAGACTGACTCCTATAAAGGAAAAGAAAAAAGGATATGAGCTTTCTCTTTTCTCATGAATCTTTAAGAATGAAACCAAATAGCTTCTGGTGGCCTTTGATACTTTTATTAGATCAGTAACAAGTTTTGGTGTGTCTCAACTAAATTAGCTGATAAACTAACACACATATAAAGAGCACAAGCTCCATAGCACAGATATTTACAGTTTCACAGCACAGTCCCATGAAGAATGAACTTTGAGAAAATAAGCAGCTTAATTTGGTGAGGACAGTCCTGGAAGTCATTGAGTGCCAAGTTTCTGATCGTGTTATGTGTCACTTCTTTCTTCATCTGAAGTTGTTGTGAATCACCATTTCTCAATAGCCC